CCATCATTCAGTGAGACGAAATAGCTATAGCATGACTATCCTCTTGTCTATCATGGCGCCTATTAGACTATCATGGCGCCTATTAGAATAAACAAGCAGAGCTTTCGTGCTTCGAAGTATGTATGGTTCTCGGATAATATTCAAATTCATCATCTTCCTATTGAAGACAAAGACTCGAGAAAAGGAGTGTGGAAGCAGCTTGCACGAGATCGAGAACGCTTCCAACGTCGTATTATGCAACTAAGTAGTATAATATTGCGAGCATTATTTAAAAAACGTATAATAATGATGAATCATATTCTTGAATCTATACTAAAAAATTATTGTATAGTATATACACTTAACAAATTTAAAATCTAAGTGGAGGTGGAAGAAGCAGCAAGTGGAGGGAGGCGGTCGTGGCGGCTAGAAAAAAAGTTTAGTAGTGGGGTAAAGGTCTTAAGAGAGAGAGAAGAGCTCGGAAAACGTCATTCTGTTAGAAGAATCATCACCAGTAGTATCCACTTCCTTCTCCACTATTCTCAAGTCTTCGATAGCAAGATGAACTTGGAAATGTTAAATAAAATAGCTATGAAGCCCTTTGATCCACTACTGGAGAAAAATCAATAGGAACTTGAAGAAAATCATTGTTATTTAGTAACAAACTTTAAGGAAGAAGATAACAATCGAATCATTCTCGAGCTCGATGCTGAATTCCCACTTATTTTACCATCGAATTTCAAGAGCCATCATGAAACATTATGATCTTTATATATTACTTTCAGATCATGTACAAATTCTTGTTTACAGATTGAATATCATAGCGCTGGTAGATTCCAGTTTATTATTTAATGTAACAAAAATGTATCTTTATTTCAATAAAGTATATACAATAAATTTATTATAAAATATATTATGGAGAGGTAAATGAGTCACTGGTGTTTCTACTAAAGCAGGTTTTAACTTATTCTAATGGACTCACAAGTGATGATGCTCAAATGGAAGTACCTCACAGGTGAGAGAGAAGGTTGGGACTCTTACCATTAAAAATAAAACAAAAATTATTTATTATTATTATGATATTTATTTGAATAAAAGTTATTTTACATAAACGTCTTTATTCTTTCATACGTATAAAGTCTTATCTATCCATGAATTGTGCGAGTTGTCGAATCCCAACCATTTATCGTATACTTGATTACCACGTTTCCTTAAAACTTTTTCAATGAGATGAACATCAGGATAAATAGCTTTCTATAGTTCTTGCTTGTAAAAACCTCCAACAATTGGATTGCCTTTATAATCTCTTAAATGATAAGTGATAGGCTTTGTTTCACAACTCGTTGAATAGTAAAAATCTTAGTAGACCAGTTAGGAGTGTATCCTTTTTTGAAAACGTGTTTAGACTTGCTCACACGTACTTTGTGTGTTGCTTACACGTACACCTGTATTTCATTCTCTTTAGTTACGTCTTCAGGCTTTATATCTATCGTACGATGTTTTTGATTATTATTGTAAGATTTCAATAAAACAGCTAGAATGTCGATCCATTTGTAATTTCCTTGTAGACTGAATTTGTTCAACATAACATTTTTTAGCGTGCGATTGAACCGTTCACAAATAGATGCCTTAAGATTGCTATAGGTTGAATATAGATTTATTTTATATTTTGTCATTAGTCTTTGAAAATTTGAATAGTAGATTTCTTTGCCACGGTCCACATGTAGATTTCTAGGAGTGCCTCCTTTTTTTATTATAGACTCCATTGCATAAGCAACATCTACACCAGTTTTTTGTTTCATAGAAACTGCCCAAGCGTACTTTGAAAATATATCAATGACAGTTAATAGATATCGAAAGCCTTTGTTCTCTCTCGAGTAGCCTTGCATCTCTACAAGATCAGCTTGCCATGTCTCATCTATTCCACATATATCAACATATATCAACTTTGACGGGGATAGTTTCGACGTGCTGGTTTATGTAACTCATCCACCACTCTTTGATGTTTCATTTTCAATCTATTTGTTAAATTGATGTAAAAAGTCAAACGGTCCAATCTTTATTTCTTTCTCCTTATTATTATTAATATTATCTTCTTTTAACTATTTAATAACTTCTCGATGCATTACTAATTCTAATCTTATTGTATCCAATGATTTTATAAGATCATTTATCGTACTCGTAAGCGTAGTAACGTTAGCTTCACTAGTTTTTCGCAACGTTCGTAAGTTTACAGCATCATTACTCTTCTGAGAATCGGCTATATTACAAATTAATAGCAGTTGTATCAAGTGACGATTCATCATCATCATCATCATCATCAATAGAAATAGCAGACTCAAATGTAGTATCAAGCGGTTGCAATGCAGAATTTAATTCATTAGCAGTACTATTGAAATATCTAGATTTGTAGGGAGTGTCAGCTGCTACTTCTGACTTGAAAACATTATCGAACGCGATTTTCTTTTTCTTTTTCGTTGGCTGTTCAGCAGTAGTAGTAGTAGTAGTAGTAGCGTTACATTTATCAGTAGTTAGCTCTACGAGTTTCTTCAATGGATCAACCATAGGTTTAAAAGTTTCATGCAATGTCTTTTCTAAATGAGCTTTACCGCGTTTTATTAGGTGATACTTGCGTCTTATGGCATCACGAGCCATGGATAATTGCTCGAGCACCTTCTTTTCTCTTTTAAAATCAGCTATGTTTACGCTTGTAATTTCTAAAGTAAAATAATCTTCATCCAGTCACTCCTCTATATTTATAGCAAAACAATCAAATCCCTTTCTATATCGTCCATGATTTATTGGTCTGTCTCTGTCGATAACCAAAAACCCATGATTATCGTCTCTCCAACATTTTAAACAAATTGCTTTAAACTTCTCAAAAGACATATCTGAGTTAACATGATCATTGTAAATGTGCTTAATATTCACGTCATCTTGTCGAAAGAAAACAAGTAAATTCACATTATCTCGAATGAGATGCTTCGGAATGCGAGCGTACAATTGACAGAGATAGAAACTATCTACTTTTTTAGGCCTGCCCATACAGAAGAATGCTATTACGTTATCTTGCTTCTCAGTGGCTATATCGTCAAAAATCATGATAGAATTTAGTCGTGTTTTATCTGGTGAAACAACTGTCTCATGCTTGCTGAAAGCATGATACTCTATACCACCAATAGGCTCTAATAAATCTTTCAAAAACTTATATTTTAGTTGATTAAGGAATTCAAATCTAAAACCATTAGGAAGAGTGATTAATGTTAATAGACAATTAGTTTTTCCACAATTACTAGGTCCACAGGAAACGGCACGGATACTACTAGGCAATATTTCACCGTGTCTTTTTTCTTATTTTTCCATCTCTACCACTCTATCGAAATTAATGACTTGAAGCTTAAGAGGCTGTTCTTTGAAATCCATGTTGTTTACTCATCATCGACACCTCAATGAATGAGTTTGTTAGGTATAAAAAGTCTGCTTATATATCTTTTATTTCATTAATATGCTGCCTTTCGAAGAAGTATGATCACGTACTATAAAAGAAAGACTGGTGGTGATCTAGTGAACAAGATTATGAATAACTTGCCTATTGAAGCTCACTTACCTGGATATTAGTATTGTGGTCCTGGTACAAAATTGAACAAACGATTGGCACGTGGAGATTCTGGTAAAAATCCACTAGACGTTGCTTGTAAAGAACACAATATTGCTTATGCGCAAAATCTGGAGGATATTGCGACAAGAAATAAAGCTGACGAAAATATAGCTAAAAAAGCTTGGGAAATAGTTAGTAGTTTTGGTGAGAAGGCAGCTGTCTTCACTGTAGCCAACGTTATGAAAGTTAAAAGTAAGCTTGGTATGGGTGTCGATATGAAAAAAGGTAGTAAGAAACGAGGTTAAAAAACACCAAGCATGAAAGAAATGTAGAAAAATCAAAAAGCCGTCAGTTACATTGAATAAAATTATTAAGACGATCTCGATAAGTAGTGTGCCTAAAAATCGAGCTCTTGTAGTTATTCGTTCGGTTATAAAAGAAGCCAAAGAAGCTGTGAAAAAGGCTGACGGTAGAAGTAAAATAAATATACCACGTATTTTATCTATTCCCAGTAAAGTTGGTGGAGCGCTTCCTTTTTTAATTCCATTATTTGCTGCTTTAAGCGCCACTGGAGCTCTAGCTGGAGGAGCTGCTTCAATAGGAAAAGCCGTTAACAGTGCTAAAGCCGCTTAAAATTAATTGAAAGAAGCTCATAGACAAAATAAAACTATGGAAGCTATTGCTATTGTTAAAGAACTTTATTTGAAACCATATCGTAAAGGTTATGGTCTTCATCTAAAACCATATTCAAGTGGAAAAGGTTTTAAAAGAAAAAGGTCGAAGTAACTTTACTTAAGGTAGCTCACCAGACTTTTAAGTAAATCATGTATCGTCCTCAAACAAATTCAAAATAATAGTCTAAGTGTTTATCTTTTGATTAGTAAAAAAATATAGTACGCTTATCGAACTAATTTTTGAGAAAAACGCAATAAACAAACGGCTCTTTTAACACACATCTTATGGGAAAAGAGCATACTGTAATTGGTTAAACGTCTCGTATTCCCGTTTGAAATTATGTACATTAATAAAAAACTAGGGGGTAAGAGATTTGATGTTTAAGATTCCAATGGTATAAAGAAAATATAAGGTAATCGGACAAATAAATAAAATAATTAGTTCTAAAGTATCAACATATTATTGAGACAACAATTTATTGACATGTTTGCGCATGCGTCTTAGATGTGGCAACGTCGCAGCTGTATAAACCGTGGTAAATTTGAATCATTTGCATTTTAATATAGTAAATAATGGAGTATATTCAGTTTTATGATACAAATTGGTGAGGTAAGAAATTGTAAAAGAAAAGAATTGAATTAAATAACAAATTTTTATTACTTTTAATTTAATATTACAATACATAACCATCTTTTTTCTTATACAAAATATCACAAAAGTAAATTAAAATTTCTTCAATTTATAGTTATTATTTCTTTAAAGCTGCAGTAATACTTGTAATAATTTTTTTACTTTTGGTAACGTTTTCACCTAATAATACACTTAATCCTTCATAACCGTTAGTTTCATATGTCTTTTCTAATAAATTTCTATCTATACCTGATTTAGCTATCTTGCTCATGATACATTTAGAAATAGGCAATCCTGACAGAGTTTTTTTCAAAATTTGTATTTTTTTTTCATTTTCTTTTTTGTTTATAAATGAGTCAACCGTTCGAGAGGTTTCATAAATAATAGATTTATCGCCATTACGTAATTTTCCTAATAATTTTTCTACTAATTGTTGTAGATTTATCACATCATTAAGAGCATTGTCCGAAATTTTAATATCCTTTTTATATAAATATTCTTTAGCTAATTCTTCTTGCTTGAAACTTAATTTAGATTTGACTCTCATCGGTAGCAATAATTTAAAAATAGGTAAGCTATCACAGAAACCTTTAACAAACATCATCATTTCTGTCAAAAAACCTGAAGTTTTTGCACAGTTAATGAGCTTCTGTGCGTCAAATCTAAAAATATATAAATATTACAGTAAATATTGTGTGTAAAATTTTTCTACATAAATATGTTTATGATAAAGTTATCTGAATCCATTGTGTGCAAGTAAAATGCATGGTTTTCCTTGACGTTTCAAAAAATAAAGGAAGCTTAAAAAACCATCTCGTTGAGAAGAAGTTATTACTTCTTGATCAAAATAATACATTTTATCATCACATATTTTGATACCATTTACTTCTGAAGCTTCGAAAGTCATATTTCCTTTAGCCATCATATACACTTCAAATTCAGCATCGCCGCTTATTGCTCCAATCTATAAATACGCGAACATGATTTTATTATTAAACGCAAAATGAAATTCATTCAATTAAGTATAAAACCAAATTTTTGTTACCTGAACAATTTCAGCTGCTGCATGACGGCCAGTTGTTTCTAAATCGAAAATAATTATTGCACAATCTTTAAAGTCAACGTCATCTATAAATAAGAAAATAAATATGAAAATGAATAGAATCAATTTATAATTGTAAAAGTAATAAAAATATTTATACCTCTCATTATTGATGTTTCATCGATTAAATCTGAGGTATTCAGATATCCTGAACCAGACTCATACGACAAGCCTTCTTTGTTCTCTATTACACTATTCTTGGCTGATCTCTCTCTCTTCAGTTCAAGTCGTCTTTTTTTTGCTGGAACAGTACTATTTCTCGATCGAATTTCAGATTCATGCAATTGTTTCTTTTTCCGATAGTTTGATGTATGTTTACCAGGAGATAAATTCAAAATTTTATTAACTTCAACTGGAAATTCGTAGCCAATATTTTTTTGACATACTGCTAATGTAACGCGATAGCAGTGACTTTCTGATCCTCCATAAAATCTAGATTTTGGATGCTTCGAACAAACAATATTATTAAACGATTCGTTTACTTGACTTGAAGCACATGGAGCAATTTGGGAAGAGCTATTTATGAAAGGTTGAATGATCTTCTCTAATTTTTCTCTTAAAGCATTATTTGATAGAGGTTCACCATTTTTAAAATAAGTGTAAGTAGATGATTCATCTTTTTTATTACAAAATGATCCACAATTGTCATGCTCACCAAACCCATGAGGTATGATATTTTCTAATGATTTTTTCACTTTATCTGCGTTACCTTGATTTTGCTTAATAGCAAGAGCGAAAGACTTTGAAAAATACTCTCTAAGAGTTGGGTTTAATTTTATATCATACAACTTACTGTTAAAAGTTTTTTTAACATGATTGTAATCCGACCATTTAGTAATAGCATAAGGCGACAGCCTTCTTAAAGCTGCAACAGCAGATGAATCATCGTCTCCAATCACTGTTTTAATTCTACATTTATTATTCACCAAATTATAATTTTTTAAAATCAATTCTACTGCCATATCTGCTTCCATAGATTTTGATGATCCAGTATGATTTTTTTTACATATGTGGTTTGTATTTTTTTTTGTTTGCAATTTCTACAGTACAATTCTCGATAAGCAAATCCCATAGCTTTTTTGGAAAAATAGCCGTGCAATGACGAATGACCTACATACTTAATTGCATTTTTAAAAAATTTTATTAGAAAAAAAAAATAAATAGAAAACATCTTTCTTATATATATATTGGTAGTTTGAGTGGTAAACTATTGTGTTGGCGTCCTTTTTTGGTCCAAGCTGTATCGAATGATCCAGTCAAATCTGTGACATTGTTGTTGTTAACTGTACTTTCATTATTATTGCTGTTGAAAAAAAATTACAATAATTTTATGAGAAAAATTATTTCACTGCTACTTGTGAAAAATCGTTTATTTATTCACATCAGTATTACATGAGTTGAGAATCATAATATTAATTTAATAATAAAAACAAAAGATTTGTATAAAAGTTTACAGAAATAAGCTTAACTTAATTTCATTGTAAATAGAAAAAATATATGTATATCAGTGTATAAATATATCTATATCTAATTGTAAATAAATGTAAATATATCTAAATCTAATTGTAAATATAATTATAAATTAATTAAATTTTATGTAAATGTATAATATTAATACAATGAAATATTGATAATAATAAAATTATACATTGTCGTAAATGGATGTATAAATGTAAATATGTGTAAATAATTCTTCTGTAAATCTTAACTGTAGTACTCGTAAAACATTCATGATTGAATCTAAAGATTGTAGCTTACTGATAATAACATTCCAGCAGTATAAATAAATTACACAATTATTTTTCGAAGCTTATACTGCAACGATTATCGGAAATCGTAGACTCGCGCGAGATAATGAGCGGCTAAACGAGAGTAGCCGCGCTCGGTTCGCGAGAGAGAGAGAGAGAGTAGGGGCAATGACCGGGAGGGGAGGCTCCGACCGGTAGTATGACTGTGCCACTCAGTCTGGTCGCCGGCCGATTTAACCTCCAACCTTCCCGAGTTTTCTCGTGAGTTTCTCGTTCGTGCGAATTGACATTGCGAACTTGCGTGGGTGTGTGCTAGCAGCAGCAGCAGCAGCAGCAGCAGCAGCAGCAGCAGCAGCAGCAGCAGCAGCAACTGCAGTAGCAGCAGCAGTAACAGCATTAGTGGCAGCAACAACAACAGCGGCAACAGTTGAGAGGCAGCACAGCGAGCATCGAGGAGTCGACTAACAACTTGTTGTTCGGATACGGTTGGCCACCGTATCCTCATCGATATCGCGGTAGGTGCACCTTAATTCCCGTTGTTAATTGTTATAATTTGCGTGCGAATCCGCGCAGCGAGCGCGAAGAATTTGTTTATTGCGTGCGAGCAGGTAGTTCGCGGTAATCGCGTTTTTTTTTCTCTCTCTCTCAATCTGCTTGTGTTGTCATTCACGCGTGCGTGCGTTAGACTCTCGGCAGATTCCCCGTGTAATTGGTTTTATTAAATAAATCATCTCTTGGTTTCTATTTAAACGAGTTTCCGTTATTGTGTTTTCCTTTGTCCGGAGGTCGCGCCAGTGTTTACGTTCGATTCGAATTCGCCGGTTACGTAGCACGAACCGCGCGAATACAGGTAGACGCGAATCGACGACTTAGGTTCCGACGGCGGCCACACGAGCGCTACTAGTAGGAGCGACAGCGCCGCCACGTGGCGAGTTGGGGGAACCCAACTCGGAACAGCAAAGAGACTCTGCGCAGGCGCACTCCGAGGCAAGGTAGGTTACTGTGCTTTGAGCACATAGATAACAAGGCTTCGTCTAGTTGAAATAAGGGCACTTTCTGGAGATTATCGACTAAACGACAGCCCGTTACATGGCGCCCAACTAAATTAGGACTCACACACGAGGGAAATTGCACGAAAAGAGAGAGCAACGCGCGCGAGAGAGAGACGTTTGCGCGCGTGCGTAATAAGGTGCGAGCGGGTAAAGTAACGCGTGGCTCGTTCGGTACGTGCTCTGCGGTAGGGGAAAGACGCCTCTCCGACCCAATAACAACGGCTTTTGTGAGCCGAGAGCACACTAACCCCAGGGGTCGAAGAGACGTCCGTAGTCGCTCTAACGCGAATATAAAAGGTGGCTAATTGTATTTTGGGTTAACTTTTTGCTTTTTAAGTGTTTTATTACACATTAAAGTAATTAAGTGGGGGTCAGTCACCAAGCGACAGTACCAGCAGAGCGCGCAATTGGGGTGTGTGTAGGGTTAGATTAACTAACCCGGTGGAGCTAACAAACAGTTAGCCTCCACCTATAGGCAGGTAGTTGCGAAGCGGAAGTTCGTACTTCCTTAGAGTACGCGATACCTGCACACACCCACAAGCCACGCGTATTGTTGCCTTGTGAATAAAGGCGTAATAGGGTAGTTGGCGATAAAAATCGCAACACCCCGCTGGCGCCTTGGGCGATAGGAGACGGTAGTGGTCGACTAGGAAAATTAACCTCAACCGCCACCTACGCCCCAGCATAAGCGTCATGGAAAATACCGCCGACGCGATAACCCGGTGGGCTTCGGAACTGCCTTCGACACAGCTGGACAGGTACCTGACGCAACTGGAATTGCGAACAGATGGTCCTAAGCTGATGCAGGCAGTTCGATTAGCATATTGGTTGCTTGGCGAGTATATCGACCTAGACTTCCAAGGAGCGGCGTTGGATAGGGAGGCCACACAACGCAGGCGACGGAGTCGAGAGAGGTGGCTGGAGTCAAGGCGACAAGAGCTAGAAGCAGCTGATGCGGCGGATCTTGTCGCCCACCCACTCATGCTGTTGTACAGGGATGAGGTGGTGGAGGCCAACCTGACGCGGACCCTCGCAGTCTATGACAACCTTGAAGAGGAGAGTCAGAGCGAGACGGGGGAGCGAGAGCCCGCGGAGGAAGGGGGGACCGGCGAGATCAAGGGGTCCACGGAGGGGGTCGGTAGTGAGCACAAGGGCTCCACCGGATCGCCGGATAGGCGAAGAGCTCGACGCTTCGAAAATGAGGAGCTACAACCTCAAGAAGAAGAAGAAGAACGGTGCGTGACAGAACGATTAAAAGAAGAGATCGAGCGCAACCGTGTCGGGATCAACCGCATACTTGAGATGCTGGAAAGGCACGACCAGGTATGCGCGCGGTGGAGCGACCAGGTGACCGCTCTGCAGGTGGAGGTCCAGCAGCTAAGGAACAGGGACCCCACCAATCGACGAACGGTTATACCAGAGCGGCCCCGGAGGACCGTGGACTTCCAGTCCACGTATACGTGTCACTACGACCCAAGGGTACCAGGAAGTACACCGGAACCCCAGCGACCGACCCCTGGCGAACCTCGAGAGGCTCCCCAAAGGCAGGTGCCTTCAAGGACGGAACAGCCACCGAGAAGAGGACCAAGAGACGCCGACATGGAAGAAGGGCAGGCGATCCCGGAAGGATCCGCCTGGTAGGACGCCAATGCGGCGTCGGGGTACTACGCGACTCGGGACGCGGGTAGGATTGTGAGAGGGTGGAAGCTGCGATACTCTGGAACGGCTTCAGAGTGCGTAGACACCTTCTTGTCGAGACTAGAAGATCTACGCGCGGGTTCTGGGCTAACAGACGGCGAAATCTTGTGCTCGGTATCAGAGCTCCTCGAAGGCGTTGCGAGGACCTGGTACGAGCTTAACAAGCTTAAGTGGAGGAATTACGCCGACTTCGTGGCAGGCGCTCGACGTTGGTTTGGGTCGAGTGAGCTTCAGCAACAAAGATTGCTGCAAGAGGCCCAAGCCCAGTACCAGGAGAAGGGAGAGCTGGTACGAGAATATGCCTGCCACCTCCTCTTCATGTTAGCTCAGCTACGTCCGCCGTTACCAGAGCAGAGGCAGTTAGATTTGGTGTATGCAAATCTCCTACCCGCCATCCGGATGCAGCTGCGGAGGAATGCGTTCTCCAACGTGGACGAATTCCACGCCCGGGCGACCGAAATCGAGACCGTCTTGCGGGACGACGAGCGCCCGAGGACCAGGTTGGAGCCAACGTCCACGTTGTACCCCGAGCACATGGGGGTGTCAGCTAGGGCACCACCGCCCCGGGCAGGACCCCGTACGGCGGCCATGTCCAACAAGCCTCGGGGTAGGGATCAGCGGCAACCCGAGTCGCCGGTTAAAACCCCGGCCAGGAAACCCGAGGACCGGCCCACCATCGCTGCAACGCAGGCTACAGACCGTTTTGAGGATCTGTCGTCGCAAATTGCGACCCTGCGACGAGATATGGACCGGTACTTTAAGGAGAGGAAGGCTAACTCTCCCAGGCGGCCGAGGGGTCGGCCGCAAGAAAAGGGGAGGACTAAAACCCCCCCAGGGTCTCCTGGCCAGCGACGAGAGGGTCAGCGGAGGAAAATAGATTACTCCCAACCGATCAAGTGCTCGTCTTGTGGCAAGATAGGCTTTACCAGAAAGTACTGCCCGGATTGCAACAAGGGAAACGGGCAGGGAAACGGAGGACGGAGGTCCCCTCTGCGTTCCCAGTAAAGGTGACCTCTCGTCGCGGGTCGCTGGAACGTGGCAAAGGCCTGTCAGCGACCCCAGGGTTCAGGAAGGTCTCGTCAGGGATATCGGACCCCACGAGACCTAGCAGTGCAGCGGCGTTAGAAGCGACAGCGACCGAACAGATGACTGATCTGGGTAACCGGGTATTTTGTATCCTCGAAGGGTACGGAGGCCGGATTCAGGTGGTGGAGCAGGGGTTTGAATGGGTCGGAGAGGAGACCATCAGACCCAAAAGCTCCAGGAGACCACCTGACACTCCGGAGGATACACCGACCCAGACACCTGCGGGTGAGAGCACGCTGCCCAGGGCAAGAAGAGCCGTGAAAGCCTCCCGTCGACAGAGGGGAGAGAGACGGCGAAAGCTCCCCGCAGGTATAGACCCGAGGATGAGACCAGATGGTGGCTTCAGGTGGGGATAGGTGCCTACAAGTTAAGGGCACT